GATTCATTTTTCATCAAAACATGCCAAATCATGAAACTTGTTCATCAAGAAATCAAGAATTGCAAATTAGGGTTTGAAATGAGAATTTTTCATAACTTAGAATTTTTCTAAGTTATGAAAAACCCTAATTTTTTCCCAACTTTGCCCCACTTTCTCACCAAGATTCATTTGGATTCAAGCAAAAGTCAAAACATGAAAGTTGTATCCTATTGCATAATCTACAATTTTGATTCACAAAGTTTTCCCAAAAGAGGCTTGTATCTCAAGTTACAATTTTTGGAATAAGGGTACTAAACCATTCTTAACTTAGTGAAAATTTGACCTATTTTAGGCAAGGTTTTTACCTAACTTCAAGACCATTTTCCACATACTTCCCCTTGGAATTTCAATTTGCATTTCAAAGATGGATTGTATTACACATTCCAAGCTTTCCAAAATGTCCAAGAATTCATCAAACAACCTCATGGTTAGAGAGAATCGAATTTTGCAATATGGCAAAAACTCACTTTTGAATTGGCCAATTTCCATGTTCATAACTTGTGCAATTTTTCAAATCAGCATGCTTCCCTTAATTACAGGCCCCTAAACCATCCAACACTCATAAATTTAATGCAAACTCTTTGTGCCAAGACCATGTTCTATGTGTTCAAGCATTGCATGATGGATTAATCCCAAAATAGATAAAGCACTTTAACCATTTTTGCAAAAGTAAGCTTTATGTCAAAATGAAAATCCAAGAAGTACAGATCAAATCCCCTTGGCACAAGTTTAGGGACTAATCACACTGATCAATGCCAAGGTTTGCAGCATGTTATGGGGGCCTCTACCTGTCTAAACACCAACTTGACCTTTTCTTGCTTAAGTGTTAAGAAACCTAGCATTTTGTAACACAACTTTGATCTCAGCAATAGAACCCTTAAGCAAATACTTTGTACACATTCAAGACATCCTAACTGAGCTAGCACACGACTCATATACCTCCATTTCCCTCTAGAACACAGAACCACCTTCAAACTGCCCAAACAGAGCACCTGCTGCAGTTTGAGTGTCAACTCTCATCCCTTTCATGCATTCCTGCTAAAACCACATCAAACACACTCCACAATATCCCTTGAAGCTAATCCAAACCTCAAACACGACCTGTAACTCCTCTAATCTGTTCCACCATTTTCACTTTCTTGTTTTGCAGTTGAAGTTCTATAGCTCGATTCAAAAGGTTTCAAGACAAAGTAAAGCTTGGAATAGCATCCCTGGACATCAAGGAAGCTGTACCAATCATCATCTTGCTCTGAAAGTACCTTCATCCTCAGATACAACTTCAGCTGAACAGGTAAGTTCATGAACATGAATCTCTCTATATAGGCATTGTTAGCTTTAGGTTTGTGAAGAAAACATGTCACATTCATAGCCCTGAACATGCTCATATGATTAGATTTCATTTATATTATGTATGCTTAGAGAATTTTAAGTCTGAATATGGAAGAAAAATTAGGTCAAGATTTGGGAATGATAAAATTCTCTCTCATTTCTGAGAGTTAAGAGGAGTTCTTTATATATTCAGAATCGTGATTCAATGCTTAACATTTTTGGTGTTGTAAGTTCGTGCAAAAACTCAAGGAATCAGGATGTTTGAATTCATGAACAAGGCGCGTGTTTTTTGAACAAGAACTGTCCAGAGGTTGAAGAAGAAGCCACGTGGGCTGGGCCTGCTTTGATATTTCTTTTCACACCATGTTTTTGGTTTTACACCCCCTAAGCCCATTTTGTTTGTTTTAATGATTTTTTGACTTTTCTTTTTTTATCCTGACTTATTTATTTTTGCTAATAATATTAAAAACATAAAAAATATTTTTCACACCATTTTTATATTTTTTAGGCATTTATTTGTTTATATGGACATTTGTACATAAATAATATATATATATACTATTATTTAGAAAAACTAGAAAAATAATGCAAATATATTTTATTTCTGATTTTTATTTCATTTTTTCTTTTGAAAACATTTTATATCAAAAATACATTTTTTTATAAATATTAAATATTATTATTTTATATATATAATACATATTTAGTAAATAATAAAGATATTTATCTATATATTAGTATATTTAGGTAAATAATACAAAAATATATACATTTTTTATTTTATTAATATTTGACATAAAAAAAATACTTTTTTATGAATATACTTCATTTTTATTTTATTTTGTATATGATTATTAATTATTGTGCACATTAAATAAATAATACCCTTTATTTAAGAAATTAGGGTTTTGCCCTTAAAACACAAAAACCCCAAAAAAATAATACTTTTCATTTTTATTTTATTTGACATAAAAAATACTTTTTTCCATACATATAAAAACTCTTTTTGCATCTTGCATATTTATTTTATTTCTATTTTAATTTGTGCAAATTATTTATCTTGTAAATATTCCAAAATTGATGTAATAGTTAGGTTTAAATTCCTTGTCTAAATATCCCCCCATTTGAACATTTGTACCCCCCTTCCCGTATTGTGTTGTAATAGTTTAGAACTTTATTTTTCGCACTTTAATGCTTTCTAATTATGCCATGTTAGAATTAGGGTTTGTATGCAAATAAAAACGACAAAATAGTTTGACCTAATTTCAAGATAATCAAGCATGAAAATGGACAACACATATCACACTTGCACCCCTAGGGTATTCCACTTGTTGCCTTCCATAATTGGGCCATATTGCATGTTAGGTCTCTTTGGGCAAAACAAATACAATTCAAATGATCATAGTCCCTCGATGACGCTTTCAAAAAGTTGCCTAAAATGATCAAGTCTCTTTCAAGGAAAAAATTGCCCAAAGATACTTAACACCATTGCAATTATGGTCTAAACGATGACCCGTGCCCGTCCCTTTCACATCCTAATACAAGATTGTCCACCAAATGCAATGGTGGAACAAAATTGTTAAAAGGGTTAAAGCATAGCAAAAATCTTTTAGAAGTTTAGGGTAGATAACTCTTAAGTACCTGTCAACTTGCAAATCAAAAACACTTGCCTCTTTTTCAAAACACACTTTCAAAACAAACTTTCAAAAACATTGAAACATCTTTTCAAAAAGACAAACACCTTTTGTAAAACATTCGAGTAAAGAATTGTTACAAGGGTAGCCTAGACAAGGCATCTTTTTCAAAACATTTTCAAAACCACACACAAAGCACCATTTCAAAACAATTGAAAACCAAAGCAAGTTGATCTAAGCAAGTACCTAAGAGCCCATGGATAACCATGGATAGAAAGGGTGCTAATACCTTCTCTTTCTATAATCTACTCCCCGAACCCAAGAAAAATCTCAAAGGTTTTTGCTGTGCTTTTTAAACCTTTCCTTAGGATAAAATAAAAAGTCAGTGGCGACTCTTGCTCAACCGAAACATTTGCAAAAACAAACGCAAAACCACAGTCAGTTCTCCCACCGTATCACAACTGGCCCTGAAGAGCTTCCTTCTTGTCAGCATACCCTTCTCTCATCCAAACATCTTTTCCACAACATCACATGTAACGAAGGATATGATTTTCACTTCAACTTTTCCGCAGAAAACATCATCTTTCACCTTCCTAAGCTAATCCTCAAGGATCTATACTTGCTTAGATAATTCTATTGAGGGTCCATAAAATGTCTTTCTTCAGACAATAGAGACCCATGCTCTACACGACCCCGCAGCATCAGACGACCATCATCAAGACTCGTCTTCTTCATCTCAGCAAGGTCACATTGAGCCTTCAACAAACACACCTCCATAGACAGGACATAAGAAGCTAAAAACTCTTTGGGATCAACAACTAACTAGTTAAGGAGATGAAACTTCCTCATAAACCCAATAATTATCTCCTTTGCCAGTTTAAGATGACTAGAGGGAGAAAGTCGACCAACCAAAGTGTAATATCCAGTAGGTACAAGATTTTCTAGTCTCTCATAGTTTTCAAGAGAAGAACCAGTCAACAAGGAAGACAAACGAGGAGAAACACATACTGAACCTTCGACAACATCACTCCACGGTCAACCTTTTCTCATTTGTTCCCCTTTACCCGATCTTTGCTAGGGGAAACAAGACTAATCATAACACACTTCATTTTAGGTCAACCCCTATGAGACCCCAACGAAGTCAGGTTTTTCTTGTACTTATCTGAAAAGAAAGAGATGATAAAAAGTGTAAATTAAACAGATCAGTATATTCATAAAAATAACAAAGCAGACAACTAACCAAACACTTTTTTCGCTCCTTCATAGAGCCGGCCTCCGCCACTTCCATGAAGGGTATCAGATCATCAGAAAATGAAACCATAATCGTCTTCATATCCTTATTAGTGTCATTGAGGGCATCGTGACATACCTAGTAACTCTTGGCCCATTCAAAGAAATGTTTCGAGAGCCAAAATCATTATCGTCGTTCCAGCAACCTAGCCGTCCATCAAGAGTATGAGAAATGAAGCAAAAATCATCATGAGCTAGAGGATTAAGAGGTATGGATGGAAAGTAATTAGACTTACAACTCTTCTAACTATTGATGTAGACCTTGAAAATGTGGTTTTGAATATGGTTGAGGGAAACAATCCCATGGCTAATAACATCCTTTGAAGTAGAACACACTTAAAAAAGATTGAAGAAAATATATCGGGAAGCGAAACCTACTTTCCCCCGATATTTATACCAGTATTAAAATACTAGTATGAAACCCCAAGCACATGGATAGAGTTGTGAATGAGGGATACAAAAATGATCCAAAACCTTATTCTCAAATGGGTTAATGGAAGACGAACCCTAGGTCCTGAAAGATACAAGCATAAAAAGGGAAATCACACCCATTGAATCGGTGAAAAATCCCTTTTTCATTCAGAATCGGAGATATTTCCCATTTGGAAGAAACCAATATCTCTAAAGGATCAAATGACATCTACTTCCCGAGAACAAAACAGACTCATGACTAAATAAAGCAACTCTATCCAAGAATAATCTTCTACAATGATCGCCGCCATTAGCACCGATGAGATAACCAAGATTGAAGATTTGAGGAATAAGGTGAAGCAATATGGAGAAGATATGCAAATATGAAATAACTGTTTTTTTTTGTTGAAAAATACTGCCTAAACTCTTATCGGGAAAAGTAACATAAAGATCAACGACCTAGATCAAATTATATGAATTTAACATTCTTCTTATCCCATGAGTCCCCTCGAATGAAGAAGCACTTAAGCAACCTAGGTAGGATAGTTGATCTCTAACTCACGTATATGAGGTGACATGTTGATGGCTTAGGAAGACAACAAGACAGAAACTCAGAAACATTAAATACACACTACGAATTCATGTAGAGTATTCCAAATGTTTCCATTTCTTTGGGCATCTAGGGAACACCTTTGATACGATCGAACAATACTGTAAAAAGATCCAGTGGTTCCTAAGACTTTGGAAGTCTTGGGAGAAACTGTTATGGGTCGACCATATCCTCTATGATCCGCCCATATCTTCAGAGATCCAACCACTATAAGGAAAGAACTCACAGGATTGATCTGATACGGGCATGTCCTTTTCTTGAGTAGATCACCATAGAGTGTAACATCCTGAATTTAGCTCAAGTACATATTAAAGCTTCGAGAAACTTCTCCTGATCATTAGACCTTCAGTAAATATTGAAGTAGAGATCCATCCCTCTAACGTATCCAATGGTCCTACCCATTCTACTCCAAATGGTTAGAAAGTTAGTTATTAAGCTCTCATATATATGCGGATGACGCCATTATAGGAAACAAGTTTCAAACGCAATTCAATTACTCTCTCATCAATTACATACTGACTTGAGTGTCAACTCTAACCTTGCAAGTACATCCCCACTCAGTCGCATCAAAAGCTCTCCCCCGTCGTAGCTTCCGTGACTCCATATATTTCTGGTACAAGTATGAAATAAGTATATTATTTTCTTTTCAAAGAGTTGTATTATTATGAATTTAAAATTGAATCAAATGAAACATCATTCCTATTAATCACAAAAATATTATTTATGAATATGTTATTCAAACATAATAACATGAAGTTGATGATGTTAATTTATGGAATACTGATATATTTTTAGATTTGTAGAGAAATGTTAGTAATGAGAATATGAATTTAAAATCACAATTGATTTGATATGGACCAAATGTTATGTTGAAGGATTCCATTCGTATTTCCTTCGTCAATACCTTTCCTAATGCAAAGAAAATAGGGGGGAGGGGTACATACAAACACTTTAGCACTTAAGTCAATGAGTGAATGTGGTAGAAAAGAGTTTTATTTTTAAGTTTTACTAAGGGGGTACCTTGATTACTGCACTTTAACTTTTTCATAGGCACACTCTAAGGTTTTGGGGAGTCCAAAACCTTCTTCCTTTGGGAAGATGTAACAATATTACTCGTTATGTCATCTAGTGACGTTTATTTAGTCACGTCCTTGATTGTGTGTATTTTTAGGGAGGAACTTAATATGTTCCTGCGGTCCTATTCCTTTTTCCTTATATAACACCTTTCCTCGCTTACCTTGATCTAACCATTCATGATGTTCAACATTGTGGCTGAATTACCTTTGATATGAGTCAGTATCTTAATAGGGTGATGTTCTCTCGAAATCGGTCCAGGTAGGAATTGTTTCCCCCTAAGCTTGGATTATAGCATAGGCAGGACATTACTTGTGAAGTCATTCCAAGATGGTGACACTTTTAATGGATGTTTCATCCATCATTGACTTGTCTCATTATTAACCTATTGATATTCTCACCCTTCCCTGTCCGTAAATAATAGAGTTTCATGAAACCCATCACCTTAGTCGTTTCTCAGGTGTCAATCAATAACGTTTAGCGCGATGGTCTACTACTAGACCTAATATGATATTTTTCATGGAAATTACCATTTTCATTATTATTGTGACAATTCCATTAGTGACATGTTCTTCGTTCATCGGTTGATGCACAACTTTTTACCTTTTACATTTCTAGATTATGGGATTTTGTAGTTCCATCTCCTCTCTATGAGGAACACGCATATATAAATACTTGAATATGTTACATTTCTTCTTTTTCCACCCTTTGAACTCTCCTCTCCACTTTTTTCTCTTACCAGAAGTATTCTTGATCTACATTGAAGCATATTTCTCCTTCTTCGACTACTTCAACACTTTATACTGAAAAGTTTCACCATTCATTTCTCTTTATAGTTTACGGAGTATGGTATAATGTAGTATGATAATGGTTTTTAAGTTATTTGTGGTTATTTTTCTGTTGGTTCAATCATATTTATGTCATCATCTATTTCATGCAAAGGAGAGTGGTGACCAAACATGATTTTTTTTCCTCGCATGTTATTCTTCTATTTGTGTGACTAGGTACAATGGTTCATGCTATCAAATGCCCTTATGAACACATAGTCAACGAGGATAAACAAAACTTAGCTTCCTAGGTAAATGGTATTTACCTAGGAACCATGTAAGTAAATTCAGATATGACAGAATTAGAGAAATATGAAGTTTTCGCTGAAGTAAGAGGTTCGTCTAATGCTTTGAAAGTTAACACTCCAGCCTTCACCAGTAAAACTTTAAATGAGTTTTCCCTTGCTTTTTCCCCATGTTTGATAGAGATGGGTTTCTTCCTCCCATTTACTACTTTTGAACAAGAAATCCTTTGTTATTTGGTATGACGCCTTAATAGTTGCGCCCCAACTGTTGGTCCTTTATTAGGGATTTCAAATTCGTATGTGAATATATGGATTGAGAATCTTCTTTGAGGGTATTTTTCCACATATTTTTTGGTTATGGGAAGGTTTAAGATTGGAAGTTTAGAGAAAGAATTCAACGTGGTTATCTAATCGAGGAATGATTTAAGGAAATATTTCAAAGTTTCTAATGATAAGAAGAAGGTTTGATGACGATTCAATTAACTTAGAACAATAAAAACTAGATTGTTAACCCGTGCGATGCACGAGTCTTTCAATTTTTTAATTTTATAATATTGATATTTATTTTTTATTAACATTTAAACTATTTTATTGATATTAATTTATAACAATTACGTCAATATATTACAATATTTTCTACTTATATTATCCTCTTATATAATCATATTTTTTATTATCATAAATATTAAATTAATCATAATGTTATTAATATAATAACACAAAATTGTAATACTAACTTTAAGAATTTTTTTGATAAAAAATACTAAAATATTGCGTTCTTTTTTGTTTTTTAACTAAAATTTACTTTTTCTTAAAGGTAGCTTCTACTAATATTATTCTCTAAAAAATATATTCAAAAGGTAGTATAATAAAATATAATTATATTTTTAGACAATTAAATCATTAATAGTAATTATTTTAATTTTTGTACAACATTTATAAATATCAATTATTATTATTAAAATATTTTATTTATTTATAAGCCAACTAAAAGAGTTAAATTTACTTTTTTTTATCTAGAACTTAAATTTATATTGTTATATTTTCTCTAAAATTTAAATTTTTAAATTTTTTAAGGTAAAATTTGATTTTTGTAAATATATCATTATAAAATGGAAATATTCTTAGTATGCCACATCAATAACAAATAATTTTAATAATTTAAATTTACTACAAATTAATAACATGTGGGAATGAGATAGTAGTAAAGTAATATAATTTTTTTTTCATAATTAAATTATTAATAGGAAAAAAATTCAAAAGTCAATGTAATAAAACATAATTAGATTTCCTTTATATATTAAATTTATATTTTTATTAAAAGGTGAATTTTTTGTTTTTATAAATATCAAATTATAAAATATGAATATTCTCAATCTGCCACATAAATAACAAATAATTTTAATAATTTATATTTACTATGAATTAATAACATGTGAGAATGATATAGTAATAAAGTAATATGAAAAGATTTTCACAATTAAGTTTATAATAGGAAAAAAAAATTCTAAATCCAATGCAATAAAACATAATTATAGTTATACACAATTAAACCATTAACGGTTTTTTTAATTTTCTATTTAGTTTTTATAAATATGAATTATTATCATTAAAATGTCTATTTAGTTGTAAGTTGATAGAAGAATTAAATTTATAGTTTTATTTTGTTATGTATTTATTAAATTTTCTAAAATTAGAAAATAAGCACATAACATAAATGTGACATAAATATATTTGTTAAATATATGAAATGATATAAAATAATTTAGACTTGCATAAATTCAATTTTAAATATATTTTTATAAATTTTTTAACTAACTACAACAAATTTTAAACTCTATTTCATCTTGATTTTTCAAATTTTACTAATAAATTAAAATAAAAATAAAAATAAAAATTTATCATTTATCATTTAAGTTAAATTGTTCAAAAATTATAAATAAGTATTATATTAAATATACATATGTTTTTTATATATTTAAAAAATATTTTAATCATATATTATTTCTTTCAAAATAGAAACAAATAAATATCATATGTTATATTTTATTATATTAACTTAATTCAAAAATAAAAATATATTTATATATATTAACATATTGTGACGAAAGTAATAACACTTTACAAATAAATATATATTATCATAAACAACTATTCTATCAAACACAACTTATAAAAGAGGTTTGTATTTATAATTATATTTTTTAATATTTTATTTATATTAAAATATTATATTTTTTATATATGATATAAATTGAATCACTGTTCCATCTGCATTTAATCATTTAAAATGTGTATAAATCACCATTCCACCCACATTTATTCAAAGTATGTATAAACTACCATTTCATCCGGAATATTCATCTGCATTCATCCAAAATGTGTATAATCAATACATATAATGTGTATAATCAATACATATAATGCAATTATAAAATATATAAAAATATCATTAAAATATAATCTCATCATTTTAGTGGAAAAAATATAATTTACGATAAAACTAGAACAGTTTGAAAAATAATTTTTATCCTGAGATATGTAAAACTCTTACTCTATTTTCAAATTCATAGTAGTTGTTGTCTCTTGCTTAAATATTGATATAACTTTAACCATTATCATCTGCATTTCTTCGAAATATATATAATCGATACATATAATGCACATTATAAAATATATTAAAATATCATAAAACAGATTCACTTTGTATTGAAAGAAACCAAAACCCAAAAATAAAATCACAAAAGTGTGAAAAATAATTTTTGTAAAATTTCATTTGTAATGAATGGATTGTTCATAATTTCATATATATAACAAAACCATTTTTTATTTATAATTGAATTAAAAAGGTTGAGAACGAAGTTTAGAAACATACGTAAAAAAAATGATAGTTTGTGTTTGACAATTATGATAATTAATTATTATTTCAATAAATTGATTTTAATAATTTATATATTAAAACTTCTCAACTTTAACTATTTTAGTACAATCAAAAAGTTTTAATATTAATTGAATTAAATTTATTATTTCAATTACTTTGTTATTATTCTTTGTAGGCATATTTAATTCAATATTATTCTTTTAACATATATTCTAAAATAATTTATATTATTTATGACATATATTTGTTTTTATTTGAGATTTTTCTAAGATTATTCTTAAACCTAAAATTATAAATATTTATTTTAAAAATATATTCTAAAACTATATGAATAATTTAAATACATATTTTTTGAAGTTTTTCTATCAGGGAGTGTTCAATGCAAATTTTTAGAAATAGGTGATTTTTGTAATGTTGATTATTAATTGAGAATATTTTTATTAATATTAATTAAGATAATAGTAATTTTTTTAATTGGAAAATATCAATTAAGAGTATTTTTATTAGTGATTATTAAGATAATAGTGATATTTTTAATTGAAAAATTAAAAAAAAATTTAATTGATAGAATTTTATGAGGATGACACATCATCATTAAAGTTAGAAGAAAATGATACATTATTATAGAGACTAGAGTTTTGTCAAAGATTGCCATCATAACAATCTTAAATTTATATTAAATAAATAAATAATAAATGTCTTTGTCCAAATAAATCCAATAGTCCATAGCCTCAGCCAACCAAAAAACGGCTCTAAAGGGAAAATAATACTTAGTTTTCCAAAACAAACTTAATACTAAAGCATATCTCCTTCACCTAAAATATTTTTCTATAAAAATGTATTAAATGACAAATTTGGCACCACCACCACCGTCACCATGAATATTTCCTTCATGGTCCAAAATAGGCTAATGTGAACTTAAACTATATAGTTTGGTCACCTTCCTCTTTTTCAAACCAAACACCTTCATTAATCCCTGTCATCATGCATGTTTCATTTCATATTATATCAACCAAACACACTTAATAATCCAACACCATCAATAGTTAGTATTTGTATTAACGCAATGCAATTTCTACTTTATAAGAGACAAAATGTTCCTCCCCCACTATTGCTTTCATTTTAGCATCCCACTTTTATTTTTGTTCAAAGATTTAAGCATCCCACTTTATTTATTCCAATTTATACAAATTCATAATTCAGTTAAAATATTTATAATCCTCCACACATATTGTCAAAAAGAAAATTAAATAAATCTGAAAGCTACATATGATTGCTACCTTATTCAACATATATCTAGAAGTTGCTTTAAACAATAGGCATATTTTGATTTATTTATATTTTTTCATGTAAAGGACACTCAATGATTGAAAATAACTATTCGTTTTTTTCTCAGTAAAAAATAATAACCATATTATAAAATACTAAGAACATGAGCGTTTAACAATATTAATAATCCAAGATTAACAAAAGTGATTTAAACATAATCATGATTATGGACCCCGTGGTGGTGGACACTGTTACTATGCATTCACACGCATCCCTTACTTAAACGATACTGTAACGTGATTATTATTCTACTAATTATAATTATAAATTAATAATCTTTGTCTAAAACAAAAACAGAAGAATTGATTTATGTTTATGTTGTGTCGTTTTTACTTACAGTTGATGGGTCACAACCGACACCCTACAATATATTGCTAATATCCCACTACAAAGACAAAGATGCAACATTGGTAGTACTATTTGTCTTGGAGATTGAGAAAATGGGGTAGCAAAAAAGCTACTTTTTTCGCATTTTCTGTGTGATCGTGATAATCTCAATGTCAGATTTTATGATTGTGGGGTTTGGTTGACTCAAATCTTCATACCCTTTTGCTTAGTTTTTGTGTTGATCAGTGTTAAACTTCGAGGTTATTCACTTGGTAAGTACTTGATCTCGTGTAGCTTTTACAAGTTTGTAGGTTTTTGTTCATGATCACTAATTAGGATCCTAATTCTACAAAGATTTTTTGCTACTTATGTTATGCCTTCCTAGTGTTTGATAATATGCTTTGTTTTGTTTGACCATAGAAACTTCTCTTGTATGAGGGGAATTTTCTCCATTAAGTTTTTTCTGTTCATATAAAAGTCAATCAAGATGAAAAAAAATGAATTTTCTGGTTGTGTTTGAATTTCGGAACCTTGCTTTGCAATTTGTGATATAATTTGTCATCTTCAATATGGATGCTATGATCACGCGCTTGTAGTTTAAAAGCTTTTTCTTTTTGGTATCATCTCTTTCTTGCAGTTGCTTTTGATATATCAAATTGTCTGAAGTTAGAAAATCTTAAACAAGAAGCCCCCAACTCTTATAAACTTGAGCTGTGTCCAATTTCGAGGTAATAATAAAACATCAATGTTGAAAATGTTTATAATTTTCTTATATACATTGGATTTCTCTTGAACCTGAAGCTGGTTGTTATTAGGTGCAAGAAATGGCAAAATAGAACTGAAGAGTCACAAATAAGAAAAACATTAATATCAAGTTTTTGCCAAATCAAAACCACCTTAGTTATGGCTACCTTGTCACAATCTGAGTGCAGACGATTATACTCTTGGTGGTGGGATAGCCACAATAGCCCAAAGAATTCAAAATGGCTTCAGGAAAATCTTACAGGTTTGTCTTTTTTTTTCTTCTCTTTCTCTATTACATAATTCTTTTATTGTGCTAGAGGAATCTAAATATATTGTTGAATTGAAAATTTGTTATTGTTACATAACTGCTTTATTTCAAAAAGTTGTTAGTTGCTAAATTGTTTATGGTAAATTAGTTGTCATAATAATGATAATAGCATAAATGCTGCATTTAAGTTTGTTGAGAATCGGTTACAAACCAATTAGTATTGATTTGTATTCAATTAGTCATAAGTGTAAATTATTTTATTACCTATTATGTATACCTATTTTGCATATAAATATACATCATGTGATCATATTCGACACACAAAAATACAATCACAACAAAGTTCAAACCAACTTTCCACATCATGACCTACCAAAAGAATAAATTTCCACATCAAGAGACTACAGACAGAAAGACATTTGTAAAATATCATTAGGGTAGGTTTGGCTGGAATGGAGAATTTGATACCATAATGGAGGCCCATACGTCCCATACTTTATGAATATTAACTTGTGATGACTCATGTTTAGCCAAGTTTCACCATATTCCTATAACTTGTTGCAACAAAATTCAGATGAGTCGTCTGGTCGGAGTAATAGGATAGTTTTATATAGCACTTTTTGATTTGCTTCTCTAAAATGAGATTGTTGCCACATTACTCTTCTAAAATATTTCACCAATGCTCTTAAAAATTAGTGTAATGTACTAATGTCATCATACCATTTTAAAAAGTTAATGTTGCGGCATTCTATTATTTGGAGGATCAAGCCGTGGATTTATTCAATCAGAATGCCATATCAATCTCTACTTGCTTGTTTGAGACCAGAGAAATTATTTGAATGAAAATTGTGACATCTGGCAATATAGAAAATATAGTTGAATCTCACTTTAAGTAGTCTGGAGACATAATAAGGGTGTTGTTTGATTCATGTAGCAGACTCCACCTAATGAATTAAAACTTGTTTGTTGTTGTAAATTCCTTAGGGTCCCAAAGCTTTCTGTTGATTATTTTACCACACTTATTGTTTATGGTCCATGCTTTTTAGCTATTACTTATTATGCATGTGGTTCTTCTATATACCTCATTTATAGAGTTGAAATAATTATGGGTGGTGAATCAACGCAAGTTTATCATGGATACTAACATTAATTTTCTTCAATATCTTTGATTCTTTGTTTGAATATTCACTTGTTTACAAAGTATGGAACTGACATTTAAAAGGTTGCAAACAAAAAATCGTTTTTAAGTGGTGCCAATTCTAAATACATTCAATCACCTAGAAGACTTCATAAGGTTGAATGAACACAGTTTCTGCTTTATTATAAGACTCACTGTTTGTGTGTAGAATTCAATCAGTACTACAAAATATACAATCTGATTTCTGAGACAGACATATAAGAAATTGCATGAAAATGGAATCAAAACCTTTTTATAACTTGGAAGTTTGATTTCACTAACTTTATCCTTAGGAAAAATTAGTTGCCAAAGATATCTTAGATACGATACACATGAGATTTATAATTTGTGAAAGCTACAATCAATAAGGAAATTACAACTTATTTATGTCCACGCCTCTATGGTTTAAGACATTAAAGCTTAATTGATGTTATGTAATTTATACAGATATAGACACCAAAGTCAAATCAATGATCAAGCTCATTGAAGAGGAAGCAGATTCGTTTGCAAGGAGGGCAGAAATGTACTATAAGAAGCGTCCAGAGCTCATGAAATTAGTGGAGGAGTTCTACCGAGCATACCGGGCATTAGCAGAGCGATACGATCATGCAATGGGGGAGCTACGTCATGCACAAAAGACAATGCCAGAAGCATTTCCCAACTCAACACATTACATTCTGAATGATGATTCACCATGCAGTTCTTTGGGCCATGAGGCTCAATATCCAGGACCAGGAGTTTCTCGTCCAGTTCATCAATCAAAAAATAATGAAAGGAGTTCAGTAGAATCTGATGGCGAAGTTCAAACCTTAAGGGAAACCATGTCCAAAATGCAGTATGACAAGGATGCTCTCTTTGTTCAGTACCAGAAGAGTTTGGAGAAGTTTTCCAAATTGGAAAGTGATCTTAATAAGGCACAGAACGATGCTGGAAGCCTTGATGAACGAGCGAGTAAAGCTGAAATCGAAGTTGAAATTTTGAAGGAATCTCTGAGGCAGCTAAAAGCAGAGAAAGATGCTGGTGAAATTCAGTACAACCAGTGTCTAGAAAGTATAGCTAGACTGGAAACAATGTTATCTCTGGCTCAGCTGGAAGCCAAGGGATTTGATAACAGAGCTGCTAGGGCAGAAATTGAAGCCAAAAATCTGAAGCAAGAACTTACCAGAATGGAAGCTCAAAAAGATACTGTTTTTCTTCCATATAAGCAGTGTCTTGAAAAGATTCCAATCTTGGAGGGCAAGATAACTCTTGCTGAGGAGAATTCCAAGATGCTGAATGAGCAAATTGAAAGAGCAGAACTGGAAGTAAAAGCATTGAGGAAGAAACTTTCTGAATTGAATGAAGAGAAAGAGTCTCTTGCTTTCCTTTACAGTCAGTGCCTGAAGAAAATATCTACAATGGAGAATGAAATTCTGCGTGCGCAAGAAAATGCTGAACAATTAAAAAAATCAAATCAAAGTCTTCAGTTAGAGGCTGAAAATTTAGTGCAGAAAATAGCATTGAAAGATCAAGAGGTTTTAGAAAAGCATACTGAGATAGAGAGATTGAAGACTCTGATGCATGGAGAGCATTCTCACTTTATTCAAATAGAATCAGCTCTAAAGACTCTACAGAAGTTGTACTCTCAATCACAACAGGAGCAAAGAGATCTTGCTTTGGAGCTTAAATACGGGCTTATGACGTTGAAGGACTTGGAACTTACCAAACAAGATTTCAAGGAAGAGATGCAAGAGATTGTGGAAGAAAACAAGACTCTTCATGAACTTAACTTCTCTTCCACCAGGTCATTAAAGAAACAGCAAATGGAAATCTCTAAGTTGAAGGAGATAAAAGAGAAACTTGAACGAGAGTTCTCTGTAAATGCTGAAGAAAGCAACGCCCTCCAGCTTGAAACTAGCCAAATAAAGGATGATATACAGTACTTGAATGAGAGATATCAGGCTATGCTGGAACAACTACAGAATTTAGGTTTGAATCCTAATTCTCTTGCAGCATCTGTTAAAAAACTACAGAATGAGAACTCAAAGCTAAAAGAGGCCTGCCAAATGGAACAAGGTGAGAAAGAAGCTCTTCGCGAAAAATCTAAGGATATGGATGAAATTTTGATAGAAAATGCCTTTATAGAATTTTCCCTTTTAAGACAGACTGATGAGTTAGATGAATTAAGAGAAACAGTGAAGGAAATTCAACAGTTGTGTCAAGTTCTCCGGGAAGAAAAATCCATTCTCATTGATGAGAAAGCGGCTCTACTTTCACAACTGCAAGTTATGACTGAAAGTATGCAGAAGCTATTGGAGAAGAATAGCTTGCTTGAGGAATCCCTCTCTGATGCGAAAATTGAGTTCGAAGGTTTGAGGACTAAATCAGATGATTTGGAAGAATGCTGCAAATTGCTAAATGATGAGAAGAACAATCTTATAAATGAAAGAAGCATGCTAATATCTCAATTAAAGATGGTTGAGGCGAAACTAAGTAACCTGGAAAAGAAGGTTACAAGTTTGGAAGAAAAATATGCTAATGTAGAGAAAGACAAAGAAAGTGCAGGCAATCAAGTAGAAGAACTCCGCCTTTCAATTTTGGCACAAAAAGATAAACATTCTAATCATAAACACTCAAGTGAGGCCCGACTTGCAAATTTGGAGAATCTAGTTCGAGTACTACAGGAAGAGCAGCGGTTGGGGAAGGTAGAATTCGAGCAAGAACTTGACAAAGCTGTAAATGCTCAAATTGAGATGTTCATCTTGCAAAATTGTATTGAAGAGTTGGAGCTGAAGAATTTGTTCTTGTTAACTGAATGTGAAAAACTTGTTGAGATGTCTAAATTTTCTGATAAAATTATAATGGAGTTGGAGAGTGAAAATCTTGTGCAACTTATTGAAGAAGAGTTTTTGCTACATAGAATCAGAAAGTTTAAAATGGATATCCATAAAGTGTGTGGTGTTCTTCAGATTGATTCAGGTGGAGGGTGTGACAGCGGAATCAAGCAAGAGGAAATAGCGATATCGCGTATATTGGAAAAAATTGAGGGATTGGAAAGTTCTCTTGTGAAAAGCGAAGAGGAGAATCAGCATCTGCTTGTTGAGAACTCTGTCCTCCTTGCTTCACTTCAGCAGCATCAATCCGAGGGAGAAAAACTTAAGTCAGAGAAAAAGATCATGGAGCAAGAGTTCGAGAATATGAGAGAGCAGAATGCAATCTTGCAGAAAGATAAAGTTGAACTTCTAGAGGAGAACAGACAACTGAGGATTAAAGTGGTAAATGGAGAAGAAGAAAAAAATAGATCAAAATCCACTTTGGTGGCTCAGCATGCTGAGATGACAGATTTGCGGCGAACAAATCAAGTGTATCAAGAAGAAAATGGTAAGATGCTTGAAGAGAAAAATTCATTGCTCAAGAGTGTTTTGGGCCTCAGAGATGCAATGTCCTCTGCTGAAGATGGAAACAATGTAATGTTCAATGAGATACTAACTCTAAGCAACCTCAACTTGGTTTATGAGAGCTTTCTCACTGAGAAAGCCGTTGAACAACAAGCACTTTGTGAACATCTTGGCAATCTTAGCCATTTGAACAATGACCTCAACCAGGAACTTGGTGTTTTAAAGAAGAATTTGGAGCTGAAAGAAGCAGAGAATGCTTTTCTGAATGAGTCAACTGAGAGGATGGACAAAGAGCTGATGGAAATGGACAAAATGCTGAAGGCTGCAGATACGCTGAATGCAAAGTTTTCAAGACATATTGAAGAGCTGAAGATGGAACGAGAAGATTCAAGACTGATCAAAGAAAATCTAGACAAGCAGATTCTTGAACTATCAGAAAATTGCACGAATCACAAAGAAGAAATTGAACACCTTAATGATGCAAACGAAAATTTACAGGCTGAGATGAAAAGACTTTTACATGAAGTTGAGCAACACCAGGTTAGGGAAGAAACACTAAGTTTAGAGTTGTTGAATAAATCAAATGAGTTCAAACTTTGGGAGAATGAGGCTGCTGTATTCTATTATGATCTCCAGATGTCATCTATTTGTGGAGCACTCTTAGAAAGCAAGGTTACCGAGCTTACTGGAGTTTGCAAGAGACTTGATGATGAAAGTTCTGCAAAAAGCTTGGAGAATGAACACATGAAAGAAAGAATCAGTTTATTGGAAAATGAAATTGGAGGACTAAAGGGGAAGTTATCTTCATATGTTCCTGTAGTTTCTTCTTTAAAAGAGGATTTTGCATCTCTAGAGCACATTTCCCTCCTTTGGACTAATAGAAATTCTGCTGTTAGCAAAGGAGCGCAAAAGGTAGCATTTTATCATACTGTACATTTATATGTGATTTTCTCTCCATGCATTGCGTGGGTTCTCATGCTTATTTACATATATTTGTATATCATGAATGTTTCTTCAGGATGTAGTAATTGGGACTTCTCTCCAAGAACACAGTCATCAAAGTTTAAGAGAAAGTGAAAGTGTGTTAATACCAGATGGAGTTTCAGAATTGCTGACATTGCAGACAAGGATCAGAGCAGTAGAGAAGATTATGATGGAAGAACTTAAAAGACGCGTCAGGCAGAAAAGTCTTACCACGGAAGGAACTGGATACTCGGCTTTGGAAGTTGGCTCATATCCAAAAATTGATACCCGAAAAAAGGTGACAGAACTTAAGGAAGAGAGCATGCTTGACCATAATACATGGAGGAAAAAACCTAAAATTAGGCTGTTAATGAAAGACATTCCACTTGATCGCAATGTGGATGATCGACACTCCAAGTATTGGAAAAGAGAGCATAGAAGGACTGATGATCATATGTTAGAGTTATGCGAAACTAATGATCATGAACCAGTATCTGCTCCAATCGAGGATGTTATAATATGCCATCTTTCAGACAATTCAGGAAGATATTTAAATTACTCCTCAGAATTGGACATAGAGAAGGAATTAGGTGTTGACAAGCTGGAGTTGTCGAAAACTGTAAGAGAGAAAAATGAAGATGACAAAAGGAGGAGGATCTTGGAGAGACTTGTCTCGGACAGTCAGAAATTAGCCATTCTTAAAATGGCTTTGCAAGACTTGAAAAAGAAAACTGAGACAAAGAAGAAAAGCAAGCAAGGAAACGACTTTGAATATGAAACAGTCAAAAGACATATAGAAGAAGTTGAGGAAGCTGTTATGCAACAAGCAAGTACGAATAATCAAATGGCAAAGAATGTTGAAGAGGGAACTTCATCGACTTTGGATAGAGAGATCCCAATGGAACTGGAAAAATATGGACATGTCGAAACAAGAAGAATTACAGAACAGGCTCGAAGAGCTTCTGAACAAATCGGACGGTTGCAGTTTGAGGTACAGAACATTCAATACATATTGCTGAAATTGGCCGAGGAGAACAACATCAAAGTGAAAAACAGAATATCTGGAAAAACAGGTATATTGCTGAGGGAGTTTATCCAAATTGGAAGGATAAACAGCAAAAGGCGAAGAAAACTGCGTGTTTGTGGATGTTCAAAGCCATCAACTAGTGAGGACTGAGTCAGAAATTTAAAATTAATGCTGTAACTTGTAAGTGCATTATTCATTTGGAATGTTTCTAAAACTAGCTTATTAATGCTTAACTTAGTTTTATCTTAAGAAATAAGAGAATATCAGTTAAAAAGGCTTGTCTGAATTTAAAGTAACTTTCTTCACATTTGCATGTATGTTTTAGCTTCGAAAGAATTGTACCGAATGACTTATATAAAGAAAAGCATTATAACAAAAAGTAAAACTCTACTAGCATCTGGTTTGCAGTGTACTGTTATGTTTTTATTTCTTTGTGCGTATCATACAACACTCCATTAAGTCCTAGAACATTCTTTGTGGGTTGAAATATAAATTTGGCCAGTATTATCTATTGTCACATATTTGTCATAGTCATGCATTTGGAACATCGTTAAGTCTGGTCAAGTCAACAATGGCTCACACACCCATAACAAGCAGCCTTTGAATACCTTAACACCCATTTCTTGCTTGTTCGCTACTCCAACTATATAGACCCTTCTTCCATGCAACTTCCTTATATCTATACTTTTTCTCTTTTCTTTTAAAATTACATGACTTTATAAATAGCCTAAAAATCAACTCAGAAAAGGAACATAAGTTCTGTGATGGAGGGAACTTTAATTTCTTCCAAACCATATCCCAAAGAAGAGAAAATTGATTTGAACCAAATCACACTCCGACCCCTTCATCTTTCTGATCTTGATGATGTCATGGTATGGACTACTGATGAAAAAGTGACCAACTTCTGCTCTTGGGAACCTCACACCAGCAAAGATGAGGGCATAAATTACATTGAAAATATAGCAACCAAATTTCTATGGTGCAAAGCAATATGTTTTAATGATCGTGCTATTGGATGTGTTTCTTTGTCCTCGAGCTCACCTCATGATAAAAGCAGGAACAAAACTGCAGAACTTGGTTATGTTCTAGGTTCTAAATACTGGGGTAAAGGAATTACCACATGTGTTGTGAAACAAGTTATTAAGATTGCATTCACTGAGTTTTCACACTTGGAAAGGGTTGAAGCTCTTGTTGATGTGGAAAATGTTGGGTCTCAAAAAGTGTTGGAAAAAGCTGGTTTCCAGAAGGAGGGAGTTCTCAGGAAGTATCTGTTCATGAAAGAAAAAAGCAGAGATATGGTCATGTTCAGTGTTCTTTCTAATATTACTTAAATGAAATGAAATATGTTACTCTTTCTGTAAAATAGTACTATTTTTTATGGTCTCTCTTTTTTAGTGTTTAGGATTGCTGGGTTTGTTTTATTGAACGTCGTTTACACATAACAAGAATTAGTATTTTATTGACTTACACTATAGTGACAGTTTTGTAGAAAATGAAACATTTTGGAAATGACTCGTGATCTCGTTGGAACTTGAGGTTTTCACTTTTGAAGTGATAGATCTAGATTTGATTTGATGGTGTATTCTTGTTTGTAATTGAAGCATTGATATCTCAGTCCGGCGTGAGAGTACCTACAAATACTCTGATGTCCAAGTTAGTGAATCTAATAAGAGAGAAACGTTAGAAGTTAAAATACGTTGAGTTGATGTACTGCCTTCCTCGTTAGAAGTATTTTAAACTTGTCATATTTTTTTATCAAAACTTTTTAAAATCAGTTCAAGCAAGTTCATGATCAATTAAGAAGTCTTCTAATCAATTAGGAAAGCAAAATTGAATTGCCTAATTGATTAGGCCTTCCATCTAATGGATTAAAGCAAGAGCAACACCTCATAATGGATTATAAAGACTTGCAAATAAATTATTAAATGGTGTCATGGATTATAGTTTCTTTTTATACGTTAATTTAATCGATTAGGTAGGTATTTTAATCAATTATGAAATATCCAAAGGCTATGGATTGTTGCCTTATTGAACCAAACTTTTTCCTATATATAAGAGGAATTTTCTCACTTCTAAACACACCAATTTTTTGAATAATCATCTCTTATATCTCTTATATTCTCTTTATTTTATAAGTTTTATTCACTTGTCATTGCTTTAGTGTTAAGAGAGTAAAAAACTTCATCTGAGAGTTGTGGTGTTTTACTGTTGTGTTGAATTTGTTAATTCAAGAGCATAGTTCTCTTGTGATATTGTAATAGATTTCAAAGTTGAAGGTTAAACCTATAAAAAATTTGGGTTAACATCGTTGGGCCCAACAACTGTAAGGGTCAAGTTTTTTGTGCTAGGTTTTTGGGTTGATCTTGTTCAAAAGCTCAAATTGTTGTAAGGTTGTTGGGTTGATTCTATGTAAAAGTTCAAATTATTGTTTTTGGTGGAAATTTCAAGAAGAAATTCTTTAGGACTAGAGTAAATCGCATGGTTTAAGATCGAACAAAATAATTTATGGTGTGATCTTTTCTTCACTATACATTTATATATCTGTCATTTATTTTTCCATTATAATTTGTCTTTTTCGTTGTTGAGTCTATATTTATCTTTACTTTTAATATAAAATTTTATAAATTAATCATTTTTGTGAAAAATATTTAAAATTCAAATATCACAATCACTTCCCCTTTTTTGTGTTTGGAGTTGATTGTTTAACATTGTAATCTAGGGTGTTCTTCTTTGTGGCTTGTCAACCTTTGAACTCCTAAGTTTTTGGTGAATATTGTTGAATCCAAACATATCTTGTCAATCTTGATCTTTGGCATCTTTTTCCTTGTCGATGTTCGATGGAACTCTTCGAGAGTTTTTCACCTTCACTCTCTGCCACATGTTGTTTATGGTGCGTAGGATGATAGTATATCAGTAAGTATGGTAATGACTATTGTCCATGAAACATAATTATCATTATGACCTTGATGACATCATCTAAAATAATACAACACTCGTTCACTGGCGGATATGTGACCTTTACGCTCTTGTTTTTCACCTGTTAGATCTCCCTCTAGAAGATGAAGCATAATAAGAATCAAACATGGAAGAGGTATTCTCCAAAGAGGTATTTTCTGACCTTACTCATTTTGAATTAACTTCTTATTTAGTTGAAATTCTGGAAAAACATGAGTTACTTAAGATTGAATTCAAGAAACTTAAAATGTTCCGTGAATCCACATCTTCTAAAAACAACAAGCTTAAGAAAGATTTTTCCATTTTAAATGAAGAAAACTTTTTTCTTAAAGATGAGAACTCTGCCCTTAAAGGCACGAGAACTCTTCCAGAAGCTTCTGAGAGTACTGATGATGTCATCAAGAAATATGACAAAGCTTTTCCGAAGTTCCTAGCCAAAAGTATAAGGAGAAACATGATGGCTTATATGATCTATGGCGTGAGCACAAATGGAACCAATGGTATTGCTTATAATTCCTATGAAGAATCTAATTCTTATAAGGAATACAAACCTAATACTCTTCATTCCCATTTTGTCTCTGCTGAGTTTGTGCCTAATGAGAAAGGAAAAGAAAAAGAGAAATCTGCTTATGAACCTAAGGCAAAACCTTTGGCAAAATCTTCTAGGTTTAATTCTTGCAAATATGATTATTATGTTGTTAAACCCAAAGTTGTTAAAAACTTTGAGGAAACTAACAAGAGAGGACCCAAGAAATTTTGGGAAACCCCAGAACCAGATAATCTATGTTGTAGATATTCTTAGCAGCGCAATTGAAACACGTGTTATGGTACCTGGGCTCTAGATGCTTGCAACACATTGAGGAAATAAGGCATATGTTCCTAAACCGGGAACTTAACCCTAGAGGTATCATGGATATCAGAGGTGATCAAAAAATATCATGGGCTCTAAAATAGTTGGTAATATTTTCTCTCCCCCTCTCTCTCTATCCATTGTTTCAATAGTTGTTGGAGTAATACATAACGTGTTGTCCTTAAAATTAATTAAGTGACAATTGTTATGATGTTATCCTTATAAAGAATCCTATATTGCTACTAGTTGGAAGAATGTGAATATTTCATTCAATGGTACAAAGGAAAAACAACATCTCCAAGACCAGACTTCCCGTTCTTAAGAATTCTTTTACTAATTAAGAGTATTAGTCTTGGCTTTGATGTTTGGGTTATGTTGGTTTGAGAAAATTATCTCAACTAAACAAGCTTGAATTAGTCTAAAGCCTTCCTAATTTGAATATCCTCTTCAGAAGCTCTTTGTGATGCATGTCAAAACAAGTTTCCATAAAACTTTTAAAAGAAAATAGTGTTATTTCTACCTCCGAACCATTGGAACTTCTGCATATTAAATGGCTTTGGCTAACATCTCTTGGTCACAAGGATGAGTCACATTCTGTGTTCACCACCTTTTGTAACCAAGTTCAAAATGAGATAAGTCTCAGAATTGTCAAGATCAGAAGTGATAATGAAAATCTTTTTTTAGAACAATTTTTTTGAAGGGCTATTTGATGAGAATGACAATTCCCATGATTTCACCTGCCTTAAAATTCCACAACAAAATGGAGTTGCAGAGAAGGCGAATAGGACTATGCAATAAATTTCTAGAACCATTGTTGTACCCCAAAATTTTCCCTCCCATTTTCTTCAAGACATTCTCCTAGGATTCTCAAATACTCAAGGTGGCTCAAGAATTGATCAGATAAATTCTCCTCCTAAGCAATGGACTCACAACTAGGGTTTTGTATTTCTCCAGGAAGATTGGGTTTCCAAGGTATCAAGTTGTTTTCATGGTTCTTCATATGTTCCTAAGAATTCTCATGTCAAATTTTAAGTCTTGCATCACAAGTTTGCTCAGTCAATAGCTCAAATGATTGAAAATCAACTATATTAGGTAAAAAGTCAATTGTGGTCAACATACAGTCAAACCTCAAAAATTTTGGTCAACATCAAGATTTTGAAGCCACATTCATTATTTGATCAAGGGTTGATCATGATTCCTCAAGAAAAGCCCTCAAATCATCAAAAGTCAAAAGTTACCAAATTAGAGCTTTCTTAGGAGAAGTCAACTGAACTTTGACCAATCATAACTTTCACATGCTTCATCAGTTTTCCCCCAACCAAATCTAATTTTGAAGGAAATTCAATTCTATACAACTTTTTATCTCTAAGCTCAAGTCCAAAAAGTGCATCATTTGAGAGATATGAGTCAATACATTACAGGTCATTTCAAAAGTCAACAAAAGACACTTTTTGTCAAGCCAACTTACATCAAGAAAAAGTCTTTAAAAGAAAAAATGATCAACATGGAGATGTATAGGACACCTTGAGATTTCCAAAAAGTCCAAGATTACCTTCAAAATATGAAAATTGAGAGAGTTATGACCAATACAAGTTGGGAATTTTTGAGCAAATGCATGAAGTTCAAGTGAAGCAAACTTGATATTTTGGGCTATTAGACTATTATTTCAGGGTCCAAGCGTATTATATATCTCATATTCACCTCAAGACTTATTTATACACCTCCCTTTGATTTACTTTATTTATTTTTGATTTTTTATTTATTCAAAAGTCAAAATTAAATGAAATAAGACAAGGCCTTCTTACACAAAGACCAAGCCCATATATTTGCCCTAATTTCAATCTATATATTCTCCCATTCATTCTCATACCATGACACGAAAACCTTGCCTCAAAAACTTGTCAAAAAAAAGATCAAAATTTTTCAAGAACCTTAAAATCTTGAAACCCTTGTTACAAACCCTTTCACTACAAAGCAACTCTCTCATTCACTCCTAATGATCATATAGAGTAAGGTTGGGTCGGTTTTGATGTTCCAAAACACATGAAACCCCATCACATGGCATATCCGATTTCATAACTTTGCAAAATTCATATTTTTACTTTTGTTTTGTTTTAAGCCATACTGATGTTACTAACATGCTTCTGAGATGTATCTGAACAGATATGGACCATCATAATGATCTCATGCATGCTAAATCACAGAACACCATGTTTGCTCCAATCTACCTTGTTTGCTTCATAACTCAAAAACCATTGATTTTAGGCTAAAATAATCCTTCCATTAAACTCACAGCTCTCGATTTAGGGGGGTAGGACGTTTTTGGATCATTAATGCTTTGTATTTTGTAGGTTTGATAGAAGAAGGCAACCAGAGAAGACGACCGGAGCTAGGGCTCTGGCGCCTCTCCGGTACAGGTAGCGTATTTATAATATATATTTATGGTTTAATAGGAATTAATGGATGTATAGCCGCCCCAGCGGTAGAAGCGCGCACATTAAGTCATTTGTGTCAAAGGGCATGGGT